ACGAGCAAAGGCAGAGAGCTGGGATGTAATGGGAATCCCTGGTAGGGTGGAAGGGACAGTGGGAGCCGAGGTCAGGCCAGGCTTTGAATGCTGGACAGGGCTCAGGGCAGTCGGTTGACAAGACCCAGGGGACAGCCCAGGTTTGCCCCTCCCCATCCTGCAGGCCAGCACATCTACCTCTCGGCTCGGATCGACGGGAACCTGGTCATTCGGCCCTACACGCCCGTCTCCAGCGATGATGACAAGGGCTTTGTGGACCTGGTCATCAAGGTGAGGTCTCGGGGCCACAGCTGTAGTGGGGGGGGGTGACCACATCACAGCCAAGGCCTCCGGGAGCCCCCGTCCCCCGCAGCCTGGCCTCTGAAGGCCGTGTGCTCCCTTGTACCTGGTTTCCGAATGAACAGCAAGTCGCAGTTCACCAGCACAGCCCAAGCCTGGGGTCTCGGCAGAGGCCAGGGGTCGTGTTCAGGCTGCGTGTCTTCAGACAAAGACAGATCGTCCGCAGAAGAGGAACCAGGAAGGCCGAGCAGTTTGTGCGGGGCTCACTTTCCTACTCTGGGCCTGGGAGAGCCCAGGGAGCTGGGTGCCTGCTCATTTCCCTGAGAAGGATCCCACAGGCCTGCTGGGGGCGCAGTGTGAAGGCTCCCGGGTCTTGCCTGGGAGCTGGTGAGGGGCTTTCTGTGATCCATCACCGGTTGGGGGCTGGGTGCACACTGTAGGGAAGATGCAGCCATCAGAAACAACAGACCAGAGAGACCCAGAACAACCAGCAAGGATCTTTAAAAACAAGATACTGAGTGGAAGGAAAGATGACAGCCAAGCCCAGAACATTTTTATGAAAATTAGAAGCACAAGCTTTACAGCCATGTTCTCTGAGTCCACATTCTCTGAGTACACGTCCAAAAGATGTGAACCAGCCCAGGCCAGTGGGCATGGGGTGTTGGAGACTCTCCCCAGTCAAGGCCCAAACCCCCATGGTCACCTTGGGGACCCCTGGGGACCAGGCTTCCTGTCCCAGCTCCCCTGTGCAGGCCAGGGCCCCGCCCAGGACAAGGCCCCCAGTGCAGCCTCCCCAGCCCTGGAGCTCCTCTCTCTGCTTGTCTCTGTATGAGGGTTGTGGCACATCCCTTTTTCCAAAGCTGAACTCCCAAAGGGCACAGAGAAGGAAGTTCCAAGAGTGACATTTTTATGGCAGCACAAAGTGGAAAGAATTGAACATCCACTGGGAGGGCGTGGCTGAGCTGGCTTCTCTGAGCCTTTATTGTGCTGACAGTCATGGGAATCTGCTGTGGGGAGGGGGTCCCAGAGCTTGTTCTTGGCAGAACATTACCCATCAAGCCCTCAGGTCGGCTGCCTTGGATACCAGGCTGGCGCTTTGCCTTTCAAGGGGACTCTAGGGGAAGGGCAGACTCCCGGAGCAACAGGACAGAGTATGTTTTGATGAGTGGAAGGGGCACTGCTGGAGAAGGCCACACATGGCCGTGGAAGACACCAGAAGAGGCACTTCCTCCCTGCTGTGGCCCAGAGCTCCCCCAGCAACCCAGGGAACAGGGGGCTGAGGACTATGGATGTGTCTTGCAGGTTTACTTCAAAGACACCCACCCCAAGTTTCCTGCTGGAGGGAAGATGTCCCAGTACCTGGAAAACATGAAGATTGGAGACACCATTGAGTTCCGGGGCCCAAATGGGCTGCTGGTCTACCAGGGAAAAGGTGATCCGGGTTGGAATCCCTGAGGACCTGGTGGGCACAGTGGATGCTGGGTGCAGGTCCTGACTCTGCTGCTGTCTGGAGGGGTCACTCTTGTTGGGAAAGCCACTCCTCTCTGGGGCCTCAGTTTCCCTGGCTCTTAGGGGATAAGTCAACCAGCACAGACGTTGTAGACTGGCTTCCCTTGGGGGCCAAATGTAGCCAACAGTCCAGCTTTGGCCGAAAACAAACAAGGAGGGTTGAGCTGGAACACCTGTGGTTCTCAGCCTCCTCTGCTCCCCACACTGTCCACAGTGAAGAACTCATCCTTGTGCTCCTCTTGGCATTTGAGCTGGTCCTGGTCCCTCCTTCACTTCCTCCGCAGCCTGACTGACCAGGTGGCTGTCCCACCTGAACCCCTGAGGGATGGAGTCTGTCCCTCCCCCAAGTGTGGTGTGTTTGAGAGCCAGGCCTCACCCCTTCTCCTCTCCCCAGGAAAGTTTGCTATCCGTCCAGACAAGAAATCCAACCCCGTCATCAAGACAGTGAAGTGTGTGGGCATGATCGCAGGAGGAACGGGTATGTGGACCTGGAGCCCCTTGCTGAGTCCCCTGCAGGCAGGTGCCGCAGTTGGGATTGGGGTGGCACAGGGCATAGATTACGAGCGATAGGGAGCTGCCCAGGGTCAGGGACCCAGGCCCACTTGTCCTGGCACCTCTCTGCTGGGCGTCTGCCTGGCACCAGGCCTGTATGTATGCAGCAGGCACTCACTCGGCATGTGGGGGGGTGGCTGCTTTGCAGGCATTACCCCGATGCTGCAGGTGATCCGCGCCATCATGAAGGACCCAGACGACCGCACAGTGTGTCACCTACTCTTTGCCAACCAGGTCAGTGGGTGCCCCTGAGATCTGCAAACCTGACTCCCACTGAGAGGGGCGCCGGACCTAGCAGGCACTGCTCAGGTGGTGATCTGCGCAGCTCTGCGGAGATGCTCGGAGTGGCTGAAATATGAGGGGTGCTCTGAATGGTCTATGCACAGCAGCTTTCACAGGGGCTGGTGGGGTCAGGCCTTCAGTGCAGAGCCCAGAGTGTCTGACCCGAGTGGGGTTGCTTGCGGGGTGAAGAGGGGAGCACCTAGAGCACCCTCACCCCGAGGTTTGCTCCCCTGGCTGTTTCCTCGGAACCTCGGAGCTCCCTTCACCACAAGCAGAGTTTGGAACCTGTCAGGGAAGTGGGAAGAATACTGGCCTGGGCTGGGAGCAGCCCGGAGCCCGAGGGGCTGTTGCCAAGGGCACGTCTGCACGAGGTGCTTGACCTAGGGCAGGTCAGAGCAGGTTTGGACCTGGGCTCTGACCCCTGAGTGCACGTCCTTCTCCCCACACCTGCTGTCTGCCTGGCCTGGCCTGCTGTGTGGCCTTGGACATGTCCCTTTCCCTCTCTGGGCCTTGTTCCTTCACTGTGGAATGGGCTGATGGAGCAAGGTCATCACAAGGGTCCTTCCAGTTTCCGTGTTTCAGGAGGAGTATGTGGATTTTGTAAAGTAATGCCCCTTTTGTGGGAGGCGAAGAGGGGACACCTCCTGACTGTGTGGGGGCTGTGCTCAGCTATGGTTCAGGTCAGCTTGCCCCAGGATCCATCTGGCCATCCATGCTGTCCATCTGTGAGGAAACCATGCCGGAGGGGGAGGGGCTTGCCTGAGGTCCCTGGACACCACCCCCCTCTCCACACAGCTGCAGAAAACCGCCCTGAGGCCAACCAGTAGCCTTGACGAGGCCTAGGGGGTGGATGGAAAGAGCCAGAAACTCCCAGCTGGCTGGTGGGGTGAGAGGGTGGGCGGCGTTCAGCTTGGCAGTGCTGGGTCCGTCTCTGTGGAGGCCATCAGCCCTCTGTCGCCCGGACAGGCATCTTAGCCCCTATTAGCCCGTTCCCAGGGCGGTGGACTCCGTATCTCTTTCTGCATTTAGTCAGCGCAGTATTGCAATTCGTGTAGCCTCTGAAAATTCTAGTCCTCGCTCATAAGGGGGTGAGAGTGGAAGATGCAAATAAAGTCCTAGCATCACATGAAAATCGTTCAGGGTCGCCCTGAAGGGTCTCAGGGGCCCCAGGGACCCCAGAGGTCCGAAGGCCACACTCTGGAAATCACCACTTTCCTTCAGTTGGGTCGTTGCCTCGCCCTTCCTCCTTCTTCCGTGACCTCAGTGCCCGGCTTTGACTGGGGGCCTCATCAGTGATGTAGGGAATCTGGGACCCACCTCACAGGACAGTTGTGAAGACTGAGAGGCACACCTTAGTCTCGGGTGGGAGTGCATGACACTTATTTCCGAGTTGTGTGTTCTTCCCGGGACTCCACTTCCTCAGGTTTATCCTGAGGAATTGATAGGGCAGCGGGGATGGTCAGAAAGGCATTGTTCACAAAGAGGGACGTTCAGAACAATTCCAGCATCCTGCGGTGGGGAACAGGAGATCCCTTTGTCCAGTGCCAGCTGGGCAGCTGGTGAGGAAGGTGTTGACACTCAGTGGCCAGTGACACGTGGATGCTCTGTGGTGTGTGCTCACCTGAGAGAAGCAGGTGGCAAGGTACCTGATCACATTTTTATGAAAAAAAGAAAAGTACACATAGCTATTTAGGGAAAGAGTCTAAAAGATGCACACTAAAATGCTAGCAGTTGTTCTCTCTGAACAGTTTCAGGTGGTTTTTCTTTTCTTCCGTATTTTCTGCATTTTTCACCCAGAAATCAGCCAGCCCAAGGTTTGTCACTGTCCTCACCCTGTCAGGGCAGGAGGGACCCTCCCCCTGTCTTAGAAATGGGAAGAAACAGTGGACACTCTGTCCCTGGGACATGCAGAGGCTCATGCCTCCGCCTGCAGCCCATCTCCTGGAGGTGACACCCAGGACCCTGGCTGCTTCAGTCCCTCCCGTTGTCCCCCCTGCGCCCGCCACACAGCGGGTACTCGGGGTGTGGATCGCTGTGGCCTCCAGCTGTCCGACCCTTCCTGCCACCTGCCTGCTGCGATTGGTGCCCCCTCTTGTCCCTTTTGCTGATCATGCTGAGGCACTGCTGGCCGTGCCGGGTGGCTGCCACCCCGCATATGGAGCAGGGAAGATGCCTCTCCCATTGTCTGCCTCACCCAGCCTGGGTCTCCGTAAGCGTCTATGAGCAGGTGACCTTTCCTGGTTGACAGAGCTTTGATCCCCAGTTTCACAACAGTCCTATGAGGTCAGTCACGCCGCCCACTGGCCTGAAGAGCCTGTCTGTCTGTGAGTGACCTGCAAACACACCGGGCAAAGTCTGGTTAGGAATGGAAAGAGAGACTGTTTCGGGAGCAGATCACTGACACTCCCTCGGGGCCTGGGAAGGCTTCCTGGAGGAGGTAACACAGGCTGAACTCTAAGGGTAGGGGCTGTGTGGTGCTGGCCAGGAGAAGTTAGTGGCGGGCGGAGAGTGGGGAGCCATAGGCCAAGCAGAGGGATCAGCGTGTGCGAGGCTGCAGAGGGGCAGGTGTGATTTGGGGCTATATTTCTTAAATTGTGGATGTACCCCCTGAGGTTCCAGAACATAAAAAGACTTAGACTTTCCCCAGAAGCTTTGCCAAGTGTGTGGCCCTCGCCTGGGCGGGCTGACGAGTGTCTCCAAGGGCACTATCCGTCCATCGCCGTCCCTCCTGACTGCTGGGCCCTGTCCCCCCGCAGACCGAGAAGGACATCCTGCTGCGGCCTGAGCTGGAGGAACTGAGGAACGAACATTCTGCGCGCTTCAAGCTCTGGTACACAGTGGACAGAGCCCCTGAAGGTGAGAGCGTGTGGGTGGAGGGGTGGAGGGGTGGTGGGGCCCGGGGGGCGCTGGCCTGTGCTGACCTGTGCCGGGCCTCCCTCTGCCGTGTGGAGCCTTCTGCTCTTGCGGTCTCCTTAGGTGCTCCCTGCGGCCCCGAAACGGGGGCTGCTGTGACCCCATCTCAGGTCAGAGAGAGGGACTAAGTGCTACACATCTCACGGCAAGAAAATACCAGAGCCCCAGGCCTGGTGCTCTGCCGCCGCTGGACGAAGAAGGCCCGGTTCTCCCCTCGGGCTGGTTCTCCGCGCCAGGCCTCCAGCGCCGGTGCCAGGGCGAGGGTGGTGGTTTCCGTGCTGCGGTTGGTACCCTGTAAGGTACTTTACATCCACCTCCTCTCTGGTCACCGGCCCCGCGGGGTGGACTGGGCTGATGTACAGTTACCCTCATTCTTCCTGCCCAGGTGCTTAAGCTTTTTGCCAAGGTCATGTAGGACGCAGTGAATGAGGGCTGCTCCCAAAGCTTGAAACAGGGTTGCCCTCTCGGAGCTGAACTCTACTTTATTCTCCTGCCTCAGGGAGATGTGGGTACAAAAATATCTTAATTTCTTTGCTGTGAGAAAAGCAGCAGCTGAGGCTTCTTGGTAGATAATCCCCGTGATGTTTGGCTTCCAGGTCAGGAGATAATAGGGAGTGGTGGGGACTGTGGTAGATTGGAGAGCCTCTGCCTGTCCAAGGGGCAGCCCCTCCCCGCTGCAGGAGGTCCTGCTGTGCAGGAATTCCACCCTGGAGGCCAGCCTTTCCACCGTTTGAGGGAAGCTGGGAGCCTGCATTTGGAGATTTCCAAACATTAGAAACCAGCCATTTTCCAAGCACCCGTTGTGGGCTCCAGCTTGTGGTCTCATTCATGTCCTGCCAACCTGCCCTCTGCTCCTCACACAGCCCCATGGTTCCCTGGGACTCACCATGGTGAGGGGGACACGCCACCCTCTGCTTCCCCAAGAAACCAGCAGATGGGCTCTGGGGGCACCCATCTCACGAGGGCCCATCCCTGAGAGAGGAGCCGCCCTCCTGGGTCGACCAAACCAGGTGCTGGGGCCCCTGGCAGCTCCATGGACCTGACAGTCGCGTTCCAAGGCCTCTGGCCTGAGCGGCCACCTGGACCCCCTACTGTGTGTTCCCAAAACCAGCCTGGCCCCATGAGCTGATGTTCTAGTCGGGGAGGATGGACAGGGAACAGATTTATTAGTAAATGAGAGAGCATAGTAGCAGGTGGTTAGTGAGACCCAGGAAAGACAAAGTAGAATCGGGCAAGGGGGTGGGGAGTGGAGGTCGGGCGAGATGCTAGTTCTGGAGTTGGAGCTTCCTGGGAAGAAAGGAACATTGATTTTGTACCCACATCCCATTCAAAAGAGGGGAAATGAAAGATGGCCTAGCTCCCTTCTGGTTGCAGCTCCCTTCTACAGGTTGCAGTAATGTGATAGGGTTAGCTCATCGGCGGTGATGGGAACACCCTTGCCTGGCCGGGCCCCCTAGCCCTTTTTCCAGCACAAGGCCGGCCACAGGGGGAGGGGCAGACACTGCCCTCTGGTGGTGGCACCTGGCAATGCCAGGACCAGAGTGCCTCCTTGTAGGGACTGTTTTAAGAGTACCCAGTTACTGGCCAAGGAGAGGTACAATCGGGTAGTCTCCTAGTGTTTTACGCTTACATTTAGTATTACAATTCCGGAGCAGTCGAGGGATTGCTGTAACGTTAGGTATAGGCTGAAAAAGGTATGTGCCGAAAAGGAAAATGGTTAACAGGCCAGCATGGCTGTCGTGGAGCTAAGCACAGGAATAGGGAAGGGGCCAGCTCATGCAGCAAATACAGCTGTTTCCCTCATGGAGTCACTTTTCAGTACACATGTAAAAAAAAACACTATCTAAAAAAATCCTTGTAAAATTGAGATGTGTTTCACATACCTGTACACTTCATATACTAGCAAATGTTTAGTTCCATGCAGTTTTTTACAAAGTACTTTCAGATCTGTTGCCCAGCTATAAAAATGTTATCTGCCCATCTGTGCCTTGCCTTATTCCAGAAGGGATTTTAGGCAGACTCATAGAGTGAGTCAAAGTGGTACGCATGGAAAGTGAGACTGAAAAGAAAAACATGGGTGGGGCCACAAAATGGAATCAGGAATAATGTTTGTACAGAAGCATGGACTGTGATGGCCATGCATATCCCTCTGAGCTTCCCAGCAGCCAAAGTGAAAAGAGAGGTGTGGTTAGTTACTTAACTCAGCATCTGTGAGATACAGAATACACCATTGCTCAGCACAGCAGACTCCTCATCCCAAGAGCAACTGGGGCTGTCTTGGCCCCTCCCAAGGGCCACCCTCCCCTCCACCCCGCAGAGTGTACAGGATGTGATGCAGTGAGTGTTGTCCGTCTAGACAAGGTACCTCAGTGACCTCCTTCTGACCTTGGACTTCCACAGCTGCATTTCTGTTGGTGTCAAGGGCTTTTGTGATGCTCTTTCAGATTGTGAAAAACAGAAACAAGCCAGATAATTGGGTGTTTGGAGCTGGAGGGACTCAGGATACAGGAAACCATCCCCCAGACTCAGCCAGGCCTGGTGGGGCACTGGTCATCTTGGATAGAGTCAGGGTTCCTCCGTTTTTTTCCTGCCACTTCCATCTACTACCCACGCTGCTGCATGGCCCTCCCACTTGCCTCCAGAACTCGACCTGCTCCTCACCTCTGACCATCCCCACTGCTCATCCGGAGCCAAGCCAGAGGAGCTGCCTGGGGAATCACCTCACGCACTGACATGCGCTCAGAGGCTGGCCTGGGGTTGGGCACCCACAGTGGGATCAGGAGGTGGCCAGTGGTGGCTCCTTAGAGGGGAGGGGGTGTGCGGTGGGTGGCAGGCATCTGGTGCTCCGGGACTAAGCTCCTGCTGAGCTGCTTGGCCCAGGGGTCATTTGAGAGGCCGGCATGTGCCCTTAGTCCCCGACTGACCACTGAAAAACTGCCAGGGAAGGTGAGCTTCAGACTAGGTCTCCCTCCTTGCTTGTGAACGAGGAGTCACATTGTTGGGCAGCACATCTGAAAGAGGCAGGGAGACCTCCTCTCTCTGGACCTCGTTCCCTGTGACGGGGCAGGACGGTCCTGAGCACAGATGTGGAGCCGGAGTTGGAGCCCCAGTGAGCGCCTGCCTCCCCCTATCCTCCACTCCCTGTTGCCCCCCCAGTCGTCAGATCCCTGCTCTCCTGGCAGAGCTCTGCCAGCCTGTGGTCCCTGTCGGCCCACCTCTCTGAGCAGCCCCTGTCTGTCCCTGAGGGTCCCTGTTGGACTCAAGCCCTTGAGGCGCCAGGTTCTCACTGCGAGCACCGTCAGCCACTTAGAAGATTATGAGGTGGCCCTGGATCTCAGGAGAAACCTGGAGACACAGTGCGCATGCATGTGTGCACGGCAGGGAGGCAGGCAGGACCTAGAGGAGCCCCTGCTGCCTCCAGGGTCCTGCTTCTGGACCTTCAGTCTGTGTTCTGGACTTGCCATTCTCAGGCACATCGATTGCTTATTTGGGACACACTCCTTCATTCATTATTTACCAAGCAAATACTGTGTGCCAGGCTGTCTCGGCACTGGGACGACAGCTGTGGACCAGACACGGCTCCTCGCAGGCTGACACCCTGGTAGGGGGAAGAGGCAGACAGTGAGCACAGGTAGTGTGAAGGGCAGCAGGGGTAGAAAACGTCACCCTGACCAGCTTGGTGCAGGGCACTGGCTGGGGGACCTCTGAGACCTGGGGTTGTTGTCCCAGCCCTGGGCATGCCTCGTTCTGTGACCTCGGACAGCTCTAATCTGGGTCCTCTGGGCCTCAGGTTCCACATCTGTAAAGTGGGGTCAGTAACCCCAGCCCTATCCACCCACAGGGTGGTTCTCAGGGCCACACGAGAGGCCAGTGGAAACTAACAGCTTTGCAAACTATGAAGTGTGGTGGGGGAACCATGAAGGGCTTGCCTTTGTGTCAGAGTGAGCCAGGCATGGGGGCAGGGAACGAGGGCGAGGGTTTGCTGGGCTCAACCTCTTCATTCTTCAGTGTTTGTCAAAAAAGGGAGGAATTCACATCACAGGAGGTTAGCCTCGCAGGTGGGGGTGTTGGGCAGGTGGGCGGTCGGCAGTTGGTCACACGGCGCACTCAGGGCTCTCTTGCTCTCCCACCCCGCAGCCTGGGACTACAGCCAGGGCTTCGTGAATGAGGAGATGATCCGGGACCACCTCCCACCCCCAGAGGAGGAGCCGCTGGTGCTGATGTGTGGACCCCCGCCCATGATCCAGTATGCCTGCCTGCCCAACCTGGAACGCGTGGGCCACCCCAAGGAGCGCTGCTTCACCTTCTGATGGCCGGGCCACCCGCCCGCCCGCGCTCCCTGTGCCCTGCCCGCACCTGGCCCTCCTGCGTGGTTCCTTAACGTCACTCTCCCCCACATCTCCTGCTGTGGCCGGGTTCAGCCTGGCCTGCCCGTGCCTGGGAGGTCACCCTGCTGGGCTGGCCCCTGTGGGGCCCCTCTGGG